ATTACGTAACTCGCGTTACTTGTAATGCGTTACCCCCAACACTTGACTACAAGTAACCAGCCCAAAATAAATGAAAGCTTGCCAGCAGTGTGCGAACACAGGTGAGCCATAGATGTCAGAGTTCTTGATTTGATCTACCTGCTCAAAATGATCTATCAGTAGTTCAAACTGTGATCTTTAAAATTGTATGGGTCATTATCATAGCTCATCTGTCAGGGGAAAAAATTTGATCTTGTCATGCTGAAAATACTATCAGGATGTCCTGGCGACAAGCCTGGCATATCTTGTGAAGGAGGAGTAAACGTTAATCATAATATTAAAAGGATGTGTGAATATGCTGTGGCCATCCTGAGAAAACATGGCTTCCTCAAAACGGACTGTGTTCCCACTGTGATCAGGGAGCACTAGGGTGCACCCTTTCCCTTAAAACATGCTTGTTGACAATTTCTGAGGGAAAGGGTAAAGACAAATACAGTGTTCGTATGTTTTGAAAGAAAAAGAAAAATACAAGATCTTGCTTTAAAACTATAGCTTTAAGTTATTTGTCAATTTAAAACTCTAGAGTGCCAAGAACCTGGCTTCATTATGCAGATTTAATGTCACTGACCTCAGAAATTACAGTGTTTACAGTATGCCTGTGCTGTCTTTTATGAACACAGGAAGGCTTTAGCCTTTGTTCTTTGCCAGTGAGGCTGAATGAAACATGACACAGTCAGCCATCATTCAATACCTGTCATTCAGAAACCCCATCTGCTGAGCTCCTGCCTGAACCTGTAGAGACAGGACAGCCCTCTGGTTAAAGGTGCTGGAATCAAATTGTTATGAATCTAAAATAGATGGGAGCATGTCCCGTGAGTTTTCTTTTCAGTGCCGTATAATGTGTCTGTGTTTCACACATCTTACAACAGCTATGGCTACCTCTACTTGCCTTTGTCAGTTTGAATGTTGGATTAACTGCAGGCCAATCCTGAATTTTTCATGACCACGAATGGCAGCGGTAAAGTTAAGAATATCTTAATTCGTAGAGGTACAGATGAATAATTTCAAGCTAATGTGAGGTTTGTAGACTTAAATAACTGTATGTGTGCTTCAGGCACACCTCAGTTTATTTGAGATTATCATATTCAGCTTACACACTGCAGTAGCCTATGCTTTGAGTGGTATGAGTTACATAGTAAGATTAAAATGTATTCTTAAACATTGCTTGATTTAGAAAATACATTAAATGAAGTAGTTGGGGAATGTTATTTTTCATGTCAATACAAAAACATATGCCTATAGTACACATGCTCTTATTTCTATTGCTAACAGATTTATGCAGATGTTGTCACAAGACTGTCTGTCTGGTCCCCTGTAAAATATAATTCAGTTTTGA